ACCTATATGGAAGGCACTTCAAAATCGTAATTGATCACGCACTATGCTGGCTTAAGAATCTGAAAGATCCGACCGGCCGATTAGCACGATGGCAACTGAAGATTCAGGAATATAATTTCGAAATTATACACAAATCGGGTAAAAAACATCTGGACGCTGATGGTCTATCTAGAGGACCCTTACCGGAAAACGAATGGGACGAAGATTATGAAAGACTATTTCTGAATCAAATAATAGACGAAAAGGATGATTTTATTGAGAATATTAAGGAGAACTTTAGTGCAAACAAGCGTTCAATTACACAGAACTTCAAAGAAGAAAATGGGTGTCTCTACAAGAAAAATCCAAATCCTGAAGGTAGGGCATGGTTGCTGGTAGTGCCAAAGAAGAGAAGGAAGGAAATCATGAGTGAATACCATAACCATATGCTGAATGGCCATCTGGGCGTCGCCAGAACCACTTACCGATTGAAGAATAAATACTATTGGCCTTCCATGTTGAAAGATGTTTCAGAATTTGTAAAGACGTGCCACCTTTGCCAAAGTCGGAAAGGTTCAAATCACTTGCTTTCTGGACTTTTACAACCTATTCCCCCAGCTAACTACCCTTTTGAAAGAATCGGAATTGACTTTGTTGGCCCCTTGCCATCAACGAAAAGAAGAAGGAAGTGGATAATTGTGTTGACCGATTATTATACCAAGTATGCTGAAACAAAGGCAGTATCAGAAGCAACCGTGAAAGAAGTCTCTACATTTTTAATCGAACATATTATTTTACGTCACGGGGCCCCAAGATTTCTTATTAGCGATAGAGGTTCACAATTCACTAGCAATTTGATGAAGGAAGTAATGAAAATGTGCAAAGTTAAACACTGCTTTACAACGAGCTACCACCCCCAGACTAACGGACTAACGGAACGGCTGAATAGAACTTTAGTCAATATGATCAGCATGTATGTGAACACAGACCAAAAGAACTGGGACGAAATCCTCCCTTTTATCACCCACGCATATAATACCACGATTCAAGAAACCACAGGCTACTCTCCATTTTTCCTGTTGTTTGGAAGGGAACCCATGTCCCTCTTAGACGACGAGAATATCCCAACGGACAGTAACATGGACGATTACGACGAATATATAGAAAACTACTTAGATAAAATAGCAAGGACGAGACAGGTAGTCATTAACAACACAGAGAAGACTCAGGAAAGAATGAAAAGAAACTATGACAAAAAACACAATGAGAAAATATATGAAGCAGGATATTTAGTGGCAGTTTGGACACCAGTCAGGAAAATCGGAAAATGTGAAAAATTATTGAGAAAATATTTTGGCCCATATCGAATATTAAAGAAGCTGTCTAACGTAAATTACTTAATTGAGCCGAAAGATAATCCTGGCCAAGACCCATTGATTGTCCATGTCTCGAGACTCAACCCCTATTTTGAGAGAATTGATGAGGTAACTCACGAGGACGTGACGACCTCTGGAGAGGGGGAAGTGTTGCATCATGGCTAATGAATCTATTTTATTTTAATTTGTAATATTATTTTTCATATATTTTAAATTCAAAATTATATTTTATATTTAATTATTTTTTATTAAACAGAATATATGTATTATAAACAGAATATATGTATTATAGAATCATCATTTGTATTTAGGTAAACTGTGTGACTTCACTGCTCTCTTTGATGTGAAAAATAAATATATTATTGTGGAGGCTACTTAAAGTAGAGTTATCTCATTATTCCCTTATACAAAATTGCAGGACGGTTGAAACACGTTCTGGTAAGATGCAAGACCCAGCACAGGAGAGAATCAAGGCTGAAGAGTCTGCCAAGCCGCAACCTGGTGCAACAATATATATCCTTCCTTATATCTATAAAAATGAAATTCAAAATCGATGTTTGTTATCGCATAGCGCAAAATCTACTAAATCAATCATTATGAAATTTCGCATGTAGGTAGCTGAAGATTTCGTTTAACATATAGGCTATTCAAAAAACTAAAAGAGTTAATGTGCTTTTTAAAAAAAATAAAAAACCAACAAGCGATAGTTCCAGTCTTTTACCGCTTGAGCGCAGCACTGGTCGCGACGGTAAATGAATTTGATTGGTTAATAATTAACACGTGGTTTGTTTACACGTTGAATGTTAGTTTGTTCACACGATGAATGTTTTTAAAAGGTAAGATTATCCAATCGCCGTGAAACTTTAGGAAGTTATTTACTATACTACTGGGAAGATTTCTGGTTTGAATTCGTTTTGAAATAAATATTCTTTGCAATTTTATTTGCAAATTTTCTACTTTCACTCGCAAGCAGCGCCTCTCGCGGTTTCTGGTGAAATTACATTTATAAATTGTAAAAATTCTAAAATATGTTCCAAGTATAGTAAATTTAATTAGAAATATGGTAATATAATATTCCAAAGACGCGTTGTAAAAAAACTTGGCATTTCAATATTAATATATATTTAAAGGAAATATTGTAACGTTTTTGTGTTAAATGTTAAAATGTTGTAATGTTAAAATATATTTTTACATTGTTAATTTAATTCGCTGTTGTTTTATAATAACGAAGATGCAAATTTAATTGTTGTTCATTTTATCATTTGTTTATATAAAAAATTACATTGTATGTGATAATGATAACAAAAATGAATTTTTAAATTAATATACATAATTCATTGAGAGAGAAAAAAGAAATAATTAATTATAAAATCCACAAACGCGTGACAATATCTTATTTAAAAATTAATAAATGTTTTGAAAAAAATTATGTTTCAAAAATATATTCAAACGCATATAACAATATATATATTTATATAACTTTATAAATCTATATAAAGGTGGATTGGATGTTTTCTAGAATCGTTTTAGCAAATGTTCGTTAGGCAAACTTTTACTCGGGTAAAAACCAGGGAAGCTGCGTACATTCGCTGAATACAGTTATTTACAAATGTTCGTTTGTGGCAAGATACTATTCCTTCAACTTCAAATTACCGAGTGGACCAATTAATATTGATTTTATTCAACTTATCGAGTATTTTTAAAGGGACCTGGAAAAAATTTAAAATTATCGAGAGTATAGACAAGTGTAGATTCAATATAGGGATTGGATGTTTGCTAGAATCGTTTTAACAAATGTTCGTTAGGCAAACCTTTACTAGGATAAAACCGGCGAAGCCGGGAACATATATACATATATATATATTATAAAGGACTGCGGCGTGTGATTATAAACAATATTTAAAGTTTTACCGCATAAGTTTCTTTTTTGTGAAAAATCAATATTTATTTCAAAGAGAAATATTTACTATTTCTAACTTTTTTGAATGAAGTATGAAAGCGTGAAAATATGAAGAGTAATGGCGAACGGGAAAAATAAAAGTGTCCAGGGGCGGGAATCGAACCCACAACCTTCTGCTCACCGGGCAGGTGCCATGTCCACTAGGCTACCCTGGACGTATTTCTCCGTTCGTAAATAATTCCCGCCCCTGGACACTTTTATTTTTCCCGTTCGCCATTACTCTTCATATTTTCACCCTTTCATACTTCATTCAAAAAAGTTAGAAATAGTAAATATTTCTCTTTGAAATAAATATTGATTTTTCACAAAAATGAAACTTATGCGGTAAAACTTTAAATATTGCTTATAATCACACGCCGCAGTCCTTTATAATGTATTATAAGTTACTTTAAGTATTATTTACGAACGGAGAAATACGTCCAGGGTAGCCTAGTGGACATGGCACCTGCCCAGTAAGCAGAAGGTTGTGGGTTCGATTCCCGCCCCTGGACACTTTTATTTTTCCCGTTCGCCATTGCTCTTCATATTTTGACCCTTTCATACTTCATTCAAAAAAGTTAGAAATAGTAAATATTTCTCTTTGAAATAAATATTGATTTTTCACAAAAAAGAAACTTATGCGGTAAAACTTTAAATATTGTTTATATATATATTAAGAACGAAATACTTGATGAGGAAAGAGTTTCTTTTATTACACAAAATTAGATCACAATTCTCTGGCACAATTTTACATATCTGTCTTATTTTCTTACTTTTTTGTATATATATATATAGCTGAATGCCACTAATAATTTTGTCTCGTTTTGCACCAGTAGAAGGGTGATTATGCCCGAAAGCTTGTGATCTAATTTTGTGTAATAAAAGAAACTCTTTCCTCATCAAGTATTTCGTTCTTAAAGTTTAGTGAAGGAATTATTACTTCAATATATATATATATATGTTTGTCGGCTATGCACGCCCTCAATATGTAACTAAACTCGCTGAAATTTGAACAGGACAGAGAGTTAAATCTGGAAGAGTTTTTTTGTCGCGCTTTAACCAAGAAAAATTATAAATAACCAGGTACTGAGCAAAAATATTTTTTTAGTCAGAAATGATGATGACAATATTGCTGTATCATGCTTGATTGACATAAACAAAATTCTTTAGGGGAATATTCATTAAAACAGACCACGGGCGAAGCCAGATAATAATTTTCAGTGGGCAGGAACAAAATTCTACCTGCGAAACATTCACTCGAGCAGAAGACACACACGAAGCCAGGTCATCTCAATATATAAAATATCGTTTCTCGGCCTTTTGGCTAAGATCGTGTAGTTTATCTCTAGATATTTTTAATTTATATATATCTTTTAAAAAATATATTCAGTAGAGAGAGTGGATATGTTTGCTCGAAAAATATATTTTATATATTATATATAAAAAAAATAATGCAACGAATATTATTATCATTATTATCATAATATTCTGTGTGTTCCGGAATATTATTATCAATAATATTCGTTAGGCAAACTTTCACTCGGATAAAATCCGGGCGAAGCCGGGTACACATCCGCTAGTATATATATATATATAGATAGTGTATATATATATATATAGATAGTGTATATATATATATAGATATACTAACCTCTTAGGGATGAAAGGATGAATTGCGAAGAGTAATGATAAATGGAAAAATAAAGTGCCCAGGGATGGGATTCGAACTCACAGTGTCCAGCTTACCAGGTATATGCCATGTCCACTAGGCTACCCTGGACATATTTTTCCATTCCTTCATCCCTAAGGTTAGAAATAATCGTTATTTCTCCTTAAAATAAATTTCGATTTTTCGTTCAAAAGAAACATTTGCGGTATAATTGTCAAACGTCGTTCTACTATTATAAGCCGCATTATATTGTATTATTAACCTTTATTATAAATTAACAACATTGTGTGTTTCAGATGTCCAGCTCCTCCCCGACATTCCAATATTCTCAGTGTATATATAATTATCTCACGAATGCCAAATAAATATCATTTTTTATCATTAATTTTATTAATTGTTTCATATTATTTATACTTATATATATTAAAAATAAAAAAGGCATATCCTGACCAGAAGCACATGTGCTTTTCAGAAGGCAGAGCGTCAAGTAGCGTCATAGAACCTCCATGAGAGGACACTCACGCTAGAGGACACCTTTCTATAAAGGACAGTTTTCATCACCAATACTGAAGAACCTCCATGAGAGGACACCTCTCTATAAAGAATAGTTTTCATCACCAATACAGTCGAACTTCCATGAGAGGACACTCACTCTAGAAGACACCCCTCTATAAAGGACCATTTTCATCACCAATACAGTAGAACCTCCATGAGAGGAACTTACGATAGAGGATATCCCTCTATGAAGAACAGCTTTCATCACCAATACAGTAAAACCTCCATGAGAGGACACTCAGGCTAGGAGACACCTCTCTATAAAGGACAGTCTTCATCGCCCATACAGTAGAACCTCCATGAAAGGACACTCACGCTAGAGGACACCTCTCTAAAAAGAACAGTTTTCATCACCAATACAGTAAAGCCTCCATGGAAGACATCTCTCTATAAACGACAGCTTTCATCACCAATACAGTAGAATCTTCATGAGAGGACATTCACGCTAGAGGACACCTTTCTAAAAAGAACATTTTTCATCACCAATACAGTAGAATCTCCATGAGAAAACACCTCTCTAAAAAAGAAAGCTTTCATCACCAATACAGTTGAACCTCTATTAGAGGACACTCTCGTTAGTGGACACCTCTCTATAAAGGACACTTTTCATCACCAATACAGTAGAACCTCCATGAGAGGACACTCTCTATAAAAAAACAGTTTTCATCAACAATACAGTAGAACCTCCATGAGAGGACACTCACACTAGAGTACACCTCTCTATATATAAAGAACAGTTTTCATCACCAATACTATTGAGGTCTGCTTCTTCTCAATATAGATTGGTGTCTCTCTTTACCCCGAGAGACGACCCAGTGCCCCAGTCCAGCCACTTGTCCAGCTACTTAACACCAAAGGTAGAGGCCTTAAGAACGACTACTAAACGTTCAATATCTTATCCAGAACTCATTTTTATTAAAAACACGCTCAATTTAATCAACAAAGAAATTTACATAACAATTTATACAACAAAGAAATTTACATAACAAGTTATACAACAAAGAGATTTACATACTTTTTTCTCCTAGTTTTAAGCCAAATATTTGCATAAAATAAAGTTGACTACTTTAGTAGTCGTAACATACTCCCCCCGCTGTTGAACAGGAGTTAAACAGAAGAAAAGAGCAAGAGACAAAACATTTTCATAATCCAAGTGGATCAAATATCCTCTGAACCTTTGACAACACTATTCGTTTCGTTAATCTTTAGGGAAGGCTTACATTTTTATGGAATTCCCATTTTACTATATCTTCCCTTTTGTTCCAGTCGCTCCCCAATACCTCGGTCAAAGGCTCTTCACTTGAGGTATCATCAAAGGAATACTCCCACCCTCTTAAGTTCATCTTCGCCTCTCCCATAATATCGGTGGCAGACCTTTGAAACTCTTCGACCTCTTACTTTGTTTCCAGAGAGGCAACACAATCATCCGTATAGAAGGATTGAGCCAACATCCTTGCCATCTTTTCTAGAGAACCCTTTATCGTTTGAAGATGATAATTACTGCATTCTGCAAAATATGGACCACAATTTAGGTCGAGAACAAGTCCCTTTATGCCTAAAAGCCATCAGTTATCCATCCTCTTCTTCCAAAGAAATCTGAGGTAGTCCCGATCATTCTCCTTAATGGCTATCATCTGGAAATATCTTCTCATGTCTGCCAAAACTCCAAACTTATATTCCCGAAATTTTATCTTTATTTGAGGGATTCTTTGCAGTAGATTGGGTCCCTTTTTTTAATACCGATTCAAGGAGAGTCCGTTGTGTTCTCGACAGGAAGCGTCGTCAAATACTGGCCGTATAGGCGCAGTTTTGGATTCACACTTAAATACAGGGCGATGGGTCAAATAGTATCCTTTTACTTCAGGTGGAATTTCATTAACTCCTTCGATGAACCCTTCATTCAACCAATCTTTTGGATCAGTAATTTTTCTTCCACCTTCGAATCAGTACCTTGTTCTACATCTATCTTTTCTTCCACCTTTGAATCAGTACCTTGTTCTACATCTATCTTTTCTTCTGCCACCTTTGAATCAGTACCTTGTTCTTCATCCATATTTTTCGCTTCATTTCTATCATGATCTTTTCCCTCGTTGTATTTATCGTCCTTATTCTCTGCATAATCAGATTTATTTATGGTTTTCAAATCTTGGGATTCTGTTTGTTTATAATTATCCTTTATTTTAGATTCCGTATCTCCAGTTTGTCTTGCTTCCACCAATTTCCTCGATGCTGGAACTTTGACAACTCTTTCCTCAGTATCATCAATCGATTCAGTTTCATCATCTGAAATCTTTACTTGATCAGCGCCTTCAGCTACCGCTCTAGAATTTGTTTACCGATTCATAACCTTTAATTGCAGTTTTAGAATCCTTTACTCCATTGCCCTTGTTTTTAGCTTCCGAATCTTCTTTATTCATTAAATCTGCATCTTCACTTTTTTCATTAGCATTTTCTACTTGCTCCAACTCTTCCTTATTAAAGTCCACTTCTAATGTATATTCATCACCTGCCCTTTTTTCCTCAGTCTTATGACTTTCCTCCGTTTTAACAACTGAATTTTTCTCAACTTGAGATTTTAGGATCCTATCGATCTCTATCAGTACGGCAATGTGCATTTTTTCGTAATGCGCAGTGGACTCCAGTTCCTTCATTACAGCCTTTTCGTCATATTCTTCTGTACCAATCATCTCTATCTCTATTTTTTTTCATCAAATTCCTTAATTTGCTGGTAACACTGGACGATGAACTCTCTCTTTTTCATCAAGAGGCACTCATCAGGGGAGACTCCCTTTAACTCTTCTAGAGTTTCGTTTATTTCCTTGGTGAAGATAGTTCTCCTTGGAATTCTAGATCCTTTTAAAAATTTCAAATTCATAAAGTCCTTTTGAGTCTCCATCCTGGAATCCTGGAATGTTCTGATCCTGGCAGGCTCGCCACAAATATTGAGGCTGCTTCTTCTCAATATAGATTGGTGTCTCTCTTTACCCCGAGAGACGACCCAGTGCCCCAGTCCAGCCACTTGTCCAGCTACTTAACACCAAAGGAAGAGGCCTTAAGAACGACTACCAGACGTCCAATATCTTATCCAGAACTCATTTTTATTAAAAACACGCTCAATTTATACAACAAAGAAATTTACATAACAATTTATACAACAAAGAAATTTACATAACAATTTATACAACAAAGAAATTTACATGACAAGTTATACAACAAAGAGATTTACATACTTTTTTTTCTCCTAGTTTTAAGCCAAATATTTGCATAAAATAAAGTTGACTACTTTAGTAGTCGTAACAAATACAATTGAACCTCTATTAGAGAAAACCTCTCTATAAAGGACAGCCTTCATCACCAATACAGTAGTACCTCCATTAGAGGACACTCACGCTAGAGGATACCTCTCTTCAAAAAGAATTATGATCCAATGGGAAGAATATGGCTTCTAATGATCCCTCGCCACCTCAGACCTGAAATACTGGGAAATATCTATGATTCGCCCACTGCTGGACATTTTGGGTTCACCAAAACCTATGATCGAATTAGAAATAAATTCCATTGGCCCTGAATGTATAGGAATGTTAGAAGGTATGTAGATCACTATCAAGACTGTCAGCGACGCAAACGACAGCCACAGCTCCCTACAGGACACTTACAGCCAATACCGGTGCCCAGAGCTGCCTTTGAAAAGATTGGAATGGACCTCTTAGGCAGGTTCTCAACATCAACATGTGGAATCCACTGGATTATTGTCTGCATAGACTATCTGACAAAGTATGCAATCACTAAAGCGATACCAACTAGTGAAACAATGTAAGTTGCCAAATTCTTAGTCGAGGATGTAATCCTGAAACACAGTGCTCTGAGGGAACTAATCACCGACAGAAGAAGGAATATCACCTCATCATTGATTCGTGATCTGAACAAACACTGCAGAATAATTCACAGGACCACGACCGCCTATCACCCTCAGACAAATGGACTCACAGAAAGACTGAACAAGACCATGGCAGACATGCTGTCTATGTATGTTGACATTAATCAGAAAGACTGGATGTGACCTATGAGTTTAGACATTCGGAAACCAGCAAGGTCATCGTAAAACAAAAGACTTTGTTCACGTTAGTAGATTGAAGCCTTATTTAAACTCAGAGGACCAGGAGGAGCACCTAGAATAGGACCTAGAAAACGACTCGCCAAGCGTCCAGGAAGAAGACATCCCCACTGAGCGAACACAACATCCACAGACCCGCGAAGAGATCTCAGGCCCTATCACCCGTTCTCGAGCCTTGAGACTGAGAATGTAAGTCTTCCTCTGAGCATCGGGTCAATGCTCTTTATAGGAGGAGGCGATGTGGCGAAGAAATAATTTATTATTTAATTTAATTGGATTTAAATTAATTAAAAATAGATTTAAAATTTACATTTGCAAAATCATCATTTAGTTGCCCAGCTTGCTTCCTCTATATTTTCTAGCTGTAGATGGTTTCTGTTGATCTGTTAATAATTGTCGACTAGTCGCCGTGACGTCATCAATAAATACTTTCACACCTTCAG